TAGAGGATAAGAGCTTTTAGCTCTGATACCAAARGATATAAGACTCGGAATCCACCAAATTTTATTGATCATAAGATGTCAAGAGTTGACAAGCTAGATGGATCGAAGATCGCCACGCAAAGGTGTGAAAGCCTTCGTGATGAGATCACAAGCCTAAGTCTAAGTGATTCCACACAAAGACAGAGACTCACACGAAATCTAGAGTGAGGAAATCCACACAACACTCAAGAACTCGCACGAATACAAGAGAAGTGAATCCACACAACTCAAAGTAAACAAGAACACAAAAGAACAAACTTTTGTAAAAGAAACTTAAACGTTTTTTGATTAATTCATTGGTGAGTATTACAAGGGAAATGAGTGAGCTTATATAGATCTCATACACGTTTTTACAAAGCTAATAAATCAAATATTTAACATAAATAAGAAAGCAATCAAAGCCTTGATTGACGTAACTTTTATTGCTTGATTTTTGGCCAAATGAAGGAAATATGAGGTTCTTTGTATCTGGACAGCTTGGGCATGAAGTAGTGACGTCTTGGATGTCTCTTAATGGTGTATAATGTCTCCATTCTGTCAAAAACAAATAAATCGAAAAGATATACCCATTYGACTAGATTTGACGTAATTGACTCTAAATAGGGAAAGTTGAGGCGTGAAGAGATCCATTTGATTTCATGCTTGCTGGTGCACTTTAATGACTTCTCAAGAACCTCTAGAAGAAATATAAACTCTCCTGGATGCCATACACGAATCCTCAAAGTGCCAAATATGGAAAGCCCATCTTTTGATCGGTTTAATGTCTCTTCGATTAGTTGAACCGAGCTAGACAAGGTCCGAGCTATTCTTGGATCCTTGATGGGTCAAGAGTATGGACCAAGTTGGGTTTTGGCTTAGTTCTTTGTGGCTGGGCCGAAATTCTTCAAGAGATGTTCATATGTCTTTATCGGACCTTTTGAACTCCTCTTGATTGTTTCTTGTTTTTAGGCATGGAGAAGAGATCTCCAGCTCATGGAATACTTCCTTAGCTTCATGGTTCAATGCTGGTTCGATGTCCGCATCATATGTG